TATATTATATTATATTATATTATATTATATTATATTATATTATATTATATTATTAATTAGCAAATTAATAATCCCAATAACTGGTAAAATTCATGCATAGCAAAAACAAGGCAAGAGCTAAAGCTAGCATATAGTATTCCAATACATCATCAATTTCTAGCTACCTTCCTGTTACCTAACTATCCAGCATATAATATATATTATACTCTACAAGCGCCTCCAATTTCTTACAGCTCCATCAATTCATTAATTCAGCTTGTCTTAGCCCTCACTTTTGACTATTTTTAATCACTCTCAAACATTTTGGCAACCAAAAAAGTTGCATTCAAATATCATTAATAATAAAACATTAAACTTCGCTAGCCGGCTGAAAATGCATTGCATAGCAGAGTCTTTGCCCGTAATCCTCTCGCTCACATGGCCTTTTAAAGAGTGAATAACGTGCAATTCAAGCAAAAACCCAGTCAACTATTCAAAAGCATACGTAAATGGTGGCCTAATAGCATTTGCTGCTCGTTTAGAGTTTTCTTCAATTTCCTTGGGCCATGTTTGGAAACAGTTTGGCGTCTCGGGCCTTTTTCAAAATCCAGCAGGAAAATGCATTTAATATCAAAGCAAAGTAAAGTTAACCAAATGAAACGCAACGCTCGAGTCGATAGGCGGAGAGCGGCACGCGTTTGAAATAAAACCGTATTAAGTATACGACACGTGGTGTTCAGGCACGCACACGCGCTGCCCACAAAGCCCTCAGCAGCAACAGCAACAGCAGCAACAACATTGCAATGTTGCTCTGCCTCTTTCGCTGTCTGCTTCATTTATGTCTTCTTCCGCCATGTTTCTTTTGCTTTGCGTACGACCAGCCAGCCGAACGGGGGCCCGACCGAGTCTCACACAGAAACATTGGGCAAGTATAAAAATCGTGAACAATAGAAAAACGATTATTAAACTCAATTGTGCCAGCATTGAGGCGAGTTGTCTGTTGTGTGGTGCCCAGCGTCAACTACAAATACGAAAAAAAAGCAACAAAATTAAAATAAAAAACACACAAACCAAATAAAATGGCCAAATTCCTTGTTCTGGTTGTGGGCATTGCAGCCCTGGCAGCAGCAGCTCAGGGCGCCACCGCGCCGCAATTGCAGCGCCTGATAGCCGAGGAGCAGAGCAAATGCGCCAGCGGCCAAGACTCGATGGCGTGCATCAAAGAGCGCGCCATGCGCTTCGTGGACAACGTGCTGAGTCAAGACAGCTTCAAGGTACGCATACACACATTTCCCTCCCTCCATCCCTCTCACTCCCGCCCCCACAACACTTGCAGCTGTCCAACTTGGAGGTGCACACGAATGGCCAGAAGGTGGCCCCGGTCAGCGAGGCACGCGCCAGCACCAGCGACGGCTTCCTGGATGCCATTGAGAACTACATGAGCGGCCACGATGTCAGCCTCAATCTGCCCTTGGCCGATGCCAAGATCACCGTCTCGGCTCGCAATCTGGCCAACGACGAGCTGAGCTTGAATCTGCGGCTGAACAATGACGATGCTAGCGATATCGAAGCCAGGGGTAAGAAGGGCAACATCTTCAAGAAGGGTGGGTTAACTCCAGTCAAGTGAATAAGCAGCTAAACTGAAACACAAACACCTGCACACCTGCACACCTGCATCCTCTATGTTTAGGCAAGAAGCACCGTCTACGCAAGCTGGCCATGCCCATTCTGGTGCTCATTCTGCTGAAGGCCATCACCGTGATACCCATGGCAATTGGCATACTGAAGATCAAGGCGTTCAATGCGCTCGCCCTCGGCTTCTTCTCCTTCATAGTCTCGGTTGGTTTGGCCATTTTCCAATTGTGCAAAAAGGTAAGACCGTTCAGCTATTAAAAACCGCATCTCTGTTATTTTTTAGGCATTCGCCGGCTGTGGTAATTAGTGAGTGCGAATGGGAAGAGTTGATTGAGTTGAGCGGGGAGTGGAGAGAAGAGAGAGGAGAGAGGAGAGGGCGGCGGGTTTATATTCAATAACAATATTACATAAATATTAGCACGTATGTATAGTTGCACAAAAGCAAAAGGGGCGCGTGCTCTGGGTAAGTTGTACCAAGAAAAGCAAAAAGCAACCCGAGTCCACAACCCTCCTCCTCAACATCCTCCTTAAAAGCACCCACTAAAAAGCACAACAAAATAAAAGCAAACCCAACAATATATGCTGCTCATATTTTAAAACGAAATCATTGCTCTGCTCCGCTCTCTCCCCCCTCACACAGATTGCGCATGATCATCATCACACCGCCCACATCACCGCCCACGGACCGTGGGACGGCCGCAGCTTTGGCGCCGCCCTGCCCGCCGCCGTCGTGGAGCAGCCCCAGCAACAGGCCCAGGAGCTGGCCTATCAGGCCTATGCCTAATTCCTGAAGCCGCAAAAGCAGGCCACAAAAATGTTGTTGATTGTTAGAAAATGAAAATTGTTTTTGTTTTTTTGTGACTTGATTTGAGCGCAGTCTTTAGACACACCCCCCCTCTATATATGTATATGTATATGTAATAACTATTTATTTATTTATTGAAAAGACAAAAGAAGAAAACACAAGAGAAAATAAGAGAAGAAGCACAACGCAAATACCAAAACAACACAAATAAATGCTTACAAATTTAAGTGCATTATATTAATTTAGTGTAGCCTACTTAGGGCTGGCTGCCTGCCGTCAAGTCCCGGCCCGGCCTGGCCCAGAGTTTCACTGAGCCTCAATTATGCATGGGGCCAAGACGCACTTGGGGACGTCCTAATTAGCCAAATTTAAGTGGCTCAAATTCTTTGGCGCTGCGCGTCCAATTAAATATTCCAGTCTACACACTTGGCTCGATTAATGCGCTGAACTTGCCTTTAATTTTAATTTTGAAGCGACTCCGTTTCACTCGACCGATGAAAGTAGCGGCCGGAAAGTGAAAGTCTTTGCATATTCTAATCGATAGGCAGTCGCTGGGGCAGAATGGACCGCAGACAAAGTGCAGCGCCGCATGACAAGAGTCGACCTAAAATTCTTAGGCTTCACTGAATTTCCACACACACACACACACACACACACACATTTGCGTTTCATTTAAAGCAAGCAATAAAGGACAAATATTATACGAGCAGCTGGTCCGGACGCATTCCTCTGGCCAATAAACCGTACAAATTGCTGAGCAGCTAGCCACTAGGCCATGCTGGCCAAGTGGAAAAACTTTAAAAATTCAGTTGACAATTTGAAATGCTCGTGCGTGGTTTGTAGGGGGGAAAGCTAAAGCTGTGGGACAGTTGGCTTCGCACTTCGTTGCGTTGCTCTCATAACAAGTTGGCATGCAGGAGCAAATGGCATGGCCACACGAGCAAGTGAATATTTATGGCTTGTTTACACTCGGAAATGCTCTGTACTCGTTAAGCGTGGATAGTAAAAGCTCAACTGCTTTTGCCCATGGGTCACTGACGAAAGCCAGATCGTAAATGAAGTTGAAATGATGTAGTGCAGTCCTTAGTTCCATCTATGAAGCTCTAGATACGGGCTTACTTCCTCTACTCTCTATTTGCTTGGCTATGTAAACTATCTATCTATCTCCGTATTACATTTATCTACATATTATTTCATCTGCATATATTATTTATAATACCCAATCACAATTATTTAAACTAACCACAGATCTATGTATGTATAAATATCTACTCCAAAGGGACATCGACTCCGTCGTGCTGTCTGCCAGGTATATTTTAGTCAGGCATCCGTGTCACTTTTACTTGTTTATTTTCATTTTTCGTTTTATTTCCTTTCGACTGCAGTTTCGATTGTTTTTCAATTTTGGCACGCATTGAGTGAAGTGTCAACGAAATTTCTTTCATCGGATGATAACAGATCGTGTGACGCTGACAACGACACCTGTTGCATTATTCACATTATCAGTTAGGTAATCTACGCGTGTTGTCAGCGGCTAACTCTTTGCTTTTATTTGATTTGTTTACATGACTTAGGTTTATTTTGGCTCAGAGATATTACGAGATCGGAGCTGCTCTATAATGTAGAGCTATTTGAGTATATTTTCAACTTTTAATTCGACATGACAAATTGCATATTTTATTAATTATTATCAAAACAAATAGAAACTCAGGTAATGTGTAGACAACGCAGAGCAATGCTGCATAGGAAATAAGCCTTCTTTATGCCAAGCATTCGACTCGTAATTTCATTTCACATTCCAAAAGTTGGGCTTTACGTATGACACACTTAGCAACGCGCCCGAAGTGTGTTTGAAATTATTTGATTTAAGCGATATTATTGAGAATATATATTTAGTTATTTATTTATTTATTTAAATTATTTTATATTTTATTTTATTTTTTTTTTTAAGTGCAATAGAATCCTGTTGCATCAAGTCTCTCTCATAGCGCCCGTATTGTGATTGCGATAAAAATTCGGTTCCCCAGACAAACTTATATGAAGGTGCCTTGAGCGTCGTTGTAACCGGATTCTACTGTATTTGACTTAAACGATATTGAGAGTGTATAAAATTTTAATAAGATTCCAAATATTTGAAAATTCATAATATTGATTTCTTATTTACTAAGGAAATATATCTATATCAAGATATAGCCTTGATAAATTGCAAATTATTTTATGAAAATTATAAATAGCCAAAAGCCTCGTACACGCCATCAGGGTAAAGAGCGGCTCTGATGAAGCTATGTCTGTCCTTTTATCAATCAGTCCGTCCCTCCATTCGTTCAGTCTTTCTGTCCGTCAGTGATCTCCTAGATCAGAAAACCTAGAGACTTTAAGCTTTATAACATATATTTTAGCATACGATTCGCATTACAACTAAAACTATAATTAAATTCTAATAATATTTTAAGAAATATTTTAGTACCATTAAAATGTATGTATAAAATATATTTAACATATCCTCCTAACATAGCCTACAATTTACAATACTGACCGTCCCCACAGAGTTCTTCGACATCAACAATTATACTGTCAAGCATCTGCTGTGATTTTGAACCCTGACCTCATCTAGAGGAACTTTTCCGTTTACTTTGTCAACAAACTTTCAAGCGATTCAGAAGCTTACAAAACTTTTATCAGAGGAAATTAAATTAGATTCCTTCGTCAATGAGAAGGTTAAGAAATGTGCAAAGAAAATTAAATTTATTGATTTCTTCACTTTCGTTGACCCACATTGAAGGGCTGCGGCGCAGCATTGAAAACGTGTCAGAAATATATGTGTCAAAAGTGCCAGCAGAAATCCTATTTCGTAATCCCGCACAGAAACAGAAGCAAGCAAAATGACAATAATTCGATTCGCAGTTCCGCCTAGACGATAAACAAATGGCCTAATGCGCATCAAATGGCCAAAATGGACAAATGGCCAATACCAAAGCGTAGACAAGTTCCGTACTGATTTCATGTATCGAAATTTGACACAATACGCTGAAAAATGTACGTGCCCTGGACCTGGGTCCGTCATGGGCCATGTCTTGGGTCTGGCTTTCATGTGCTGTTCGCGTAAGAGTTGCCTCCGCGCATACTAATTGAGGGAAACAAAAGTTATTTTCATTGGTCGTCGATAATGCAACTTTGATCAGCGCGCTGCGAGCGGGGGGCCTGAGTGGGGCGGGGGCGGGCTGGTCGAGGTGTTCGTATAGCCGGTATGGAAAGCGAGAAAGCTTGCATGTGGCTAGGGCTAGGGAGTCTCTGGGCTGGTCAACCCAGATATCAAAAAGTCGATCCAACACAGTTTGGTGAAAAACTTTGGACACCCCGAAGAGCCAGAGCCAAGGTTCGGCAACGGCTTTCGTCAGCCCGACGTTTCTGCGTGCTGCTGCTGCCTCTGCTGTCCAAAAATATATCGGTGCGCTCCAAAACTTATGTCGATTGCAGTGTCTACGGCTCCTCTGTCGCGTCTCTCAGTATAAAATCGTCGGTAGTGGCACAAGTGCTCAACATTGTCGTCGCATCGGCATCGCAGTGAACACTACGCGCTCTGGTAGTGTATAGAGGCATACTTATATATAGATAGTATATATATATATTGCAAGTGGATATTTGAAAATCTTGTCGAGATGGCACAACGTTTCACATCCTTAATCGCGTTCGGTAGTGTGCTGCTGCTGGCGGCGTCTGTTCAGGGTGCTGCCATTGACAATGCGGTCACGCCCCGCATCCACAGCTCGGATGAGCTGATCTCGACCATTGTGGATAAGTGCTTCCATGCCAATGCCATGCATTGCCTGAAGGAGAAGGTGCTCACCTATCTGGACACGGTCGCCAATGTTGAGGAGGAGGTCAGCGGTCGCGCCTTCAATGATGATGTCATCGATAAGGTCATCGTCGATCGTCTGGCACGCATTCTGCGCACCAACGAGCTGCGCCTCCAGCTGCCAGAGACCTTCTTCGCCAGCTCAGTGATTTCCTATCGCTCCGACCGTGGCTTCGACCTGGAGTTGCCCAAAGAGGAAGGTGTGTCAGCTTCGCTCAGCTCATTGCCTTCAGCCAGATTCGTAATCTCTATTGTTTTTCCCATTTGGCAGGCCGTGCTGAGAAGAAGAACAAGGACAAGCTCTTGCTGCCTCTGTTGCTGCTCATGAAGTTCAAGCTGAAGGTGATCATGCCCATTCTGTTGGCTCTGGTCAGTCTGAAGGCCACCAAGGCTCTGATCCTGTCCAAGATTGCCATCAAGTTGGTGCTCGGCTTCCTCATCTACAATCTGATCCAGAAATTGGGCGGCATGAAGATGAACATGGTGCCCATGCCACCACCAATGCCAGCTGCTGAATACGGTGTGCCAAGCACCACTGCCTCCTCGTACGATCCCAGCAGCTGGGAGCCCATGAGCGGTGGCCCATATGCCCGTTGGGACTCACAGAATCTGGCCTATAGCTCATACCACCCCAGCAGCTCCTCCTCGTACAGCTCCGGCTCATCGTCCGGTGCCTCCACCTCGTCCAGCTACAGCAACTCATCTTAGATCTTAGATCGCACTGCCGCTGTTAATGTACATACCAAGGAACTGAGTGCCGCACCGTCTGCCCGCGGGGGCGTGGCACTTTGAGTAAGCAGACCAAATGGAACCGGAACATGCCTAGGCCATAAAACTAGTTGTTAAGTTTAAGCGCTCGACTTTTAGCCATTCTATTGATTTCCATCTACTCCATCTACCATCTTCCGCTTCCTTTCACGCTTCTTCTCTATCGCTTCTTCCTCACTGCTTTCGCTTTTATTTCTCTGCATTTTCCTCTAGCTAAACCCTTCTCCTTCTTACCCTCCAGAGATCGACCAAAAATCAACAAAATTAATTGAAATATTATTTATTTAATTTATTAAAAATTGCAAAAATTGAAAAGTAAATATGGTTTTTTAATTAAATATAATGTGATGTGGACGCATTAAATTTGTCTAGAAAAATTTATTACATTTTTTTCAGTAGAGAAAAAGATTTTAAGCAGCGAAACCTGTTCAGCTTTGAGTCGGCTGTGAATGCAAAATATTTATAATTTTTTAGCAGAACTCAATTAATACACCAGAATAGAATTTCTTTTAAATTATAAAATTAAAATCAGGGTATGATTATATAAGATAAGCATTGCTCATCACGAAAGTTGCTTTAATTTTCGTAAAATTATCAATGCGCTGATTATATGGGATGTTCCTGGTAAGCTAAAATTATATTTGATTACATTATTTGCATAAGTTCTACTCAAATAATAATACACATTGTTTCGATTCACTTATTTTCTATATTAGCCGGATATAATAAATACCCAATAAATAAATAATTTTAATTTGTTGACTGCAAATCAAACAAATCGATTTTCCTAATTTGCCGCACTTAAATTTGATTACAAAACTAACATTCGTGATACCCTGGATAACCTTTTTGTATACCTACCATAGCTGTCGCCAGTTTTCAAGTGGTAAAGAGCTAAATTTTGAAACACAATTCGAAGGCAACAATAGAGATATATTAGCCAGCATTTGTCAGATATAATGCCATGAGTTAGCATGTCATAAACTCAGCGCCAATTAACTACACACTGAATAAAATAGAACTAAATGAGCTACTAACTGTTTTTGCCATATATACATATATATATATATATTACTTTCATGATTTATTTTTGTCGGTTTTTTTTTTCAGAGTCACGCAAATTTCGGAACAAAAATTGCGTTGACACACGCTAAGCTTTTCAATTTAAGCAGCTAGCAGAGAACCGTAATACTAAAACAAGATGATAATCTACTCCCAGCTATTTAAGGGTTTTTTCTGTTTGTTTTCATAACTTAAAGTAATTGATATAGGTAAGAATTCCGGTAGGAGTATGGGCTATGATTTGTTAAGTCTTACATTTAATTAAGGAAGCGATGAATATACTAAATAAATTAATTTAATGCCAAGACTACTACGACTATATAACTTTTTTAGTTCTTATAAACTTAATATGTCTATAGAACGGCATACCTTTATCTATCTAAAACTTTCGAAGCAATTCTTAGTCTTTGAATATTTCAATTTAAGACAACATCTATTCAGCATATGTATATGAAGACAAGCGGAGCTAAGTAGATGGTGTTCATAATGTGAAACTTTTGTGTGTCCTACCTATTAATGTTATGTTCTCTTAGATTCTATGCCTATTTTTGGTGCAGATTTATTTTCCTATAGATAAAACTTCTTCGTTCTTTAAAAAATCAGTTTAATGATGAATAAAAAAATCCTTTATTTGAGCGAGATATGCGAAATTGAATCTGAAAACATTATCGAGCTGTTCTCAATTTCTGTTTTTAATATAATATAATATATGTATATGCACAATTGATGTTGCACAGGCCTTGTCAAGTAGACAATTGGTCAGTCAACTGGTTATAGGTCGACTCAACAATCGTTTGTTTACATGCTCTGCCAAAAGTTTATGGTGTTACATAGCTAGTCGTTGAGGCTATATACCCCATCTAGAGAAAATGCATATTAAATCACAACAGCCGTATGCTTGCTTATCCAGCCAGACATTTTGCCATGGGCTTAAAGACCAACAGCTGTTTTAACACAGCCCGAGTCGAGCGGCTGACTGGGCAAACTGGCCACCAGACCTAGACCGAGACAGCCGGTTTTTCAGCAATAATGCAATCTGGGTTGGCCGGGGTGCGAGCGCCTACATAAAGCGCTGCCACAGCCAGATATCGGCCAGTATCGATGCTGAAACCGAAATGTGGACCAATCGCACTCGCTTGCTCTGGCTCTGCCTCTGCCTCTGGCTGTGGCTGTGCCTGGACAAGGCCCTCTGCCTGCCGGAAACTGGAAAGATGCGGGACACAGATGTGAGCAAATTCTTCAGGCACTTGGACGTTATACCCGATGTCATAGCCGTCGGCCCGCAAGACTTTCTCAACGTAAGTTCAACTCTAACAAAGGAGAGAATCACTCAGTCATATCTCTGCTCCTCCTGGCTAAACAGGTTACATATCCGGGTAATATAAATGCCGATCGAGGCGTCCAGCTACAGGCCTTGCAGGTGAGGGATGAGCCGAAGGTCAACTGGATTGCCGGCAAGGATTACTACTACACGCTCATACTGACCGATCCGGATGTGCCCGCCAAGGTGCCGCCACAGCCCAATGAGTATCTCCATTGGCTGGTTGTCAACATACCCGGAAATGAAATGGCGCTCGGCGATGTGCGCGTTGGCTACACCGGCGCCACACCCGCCAAGGGCAGCGGCCTGCATCGCTACGTGTTCCTGCTCTACAAGCAGTCGGACTACTTGAAGTTCGATCTGGAGCCTGTGCCCAAGCACAGCGACCGGGGACGGCAGAATTTCAGCACCAGGGCATTCGTAAAGCGGTACGAATTGGGCTTTCCTCTGGCTGGAAATTTCTTCACCTGCGAGTGGAGCACTGATGTGCCCGCGCTGCACAAGGCCAGCCACGAGACGGAGGAGAGGCCGCTGTCGTTTTAGGTAATCAACGAACCAAGCCAAACCAAGTTGGCCGGTTTTTAATTGGATTGCCAAAGAAATGCATAAATTAAGTTCGAGCTCAACTACGAGCTCAGCCAATTGTCAAATCAGATACACTGTAAATATTTTCTAACACAAACGAACAAAAACACATACATAAACTGTCTGCCTAGCAAATTGAAAGCAACCAGAAATTTTACTGAATTCTCAGCTCGATAATCATGGTCGAGTTCTTTACGAAGCACAAGATTGTGCCCGATGTGCTGCAAGTGGCGCCGATGCAGCTGCTCAAGGTGAGCTTCGCTAGATTCTCGTTAGTTGATCGATTGCCTCTGCTATAACGAATGCCTCACATTAGGTGACCTATGCGGGCGGCGTGGAGGCAAACAGTGGCAACGAGCTGACTCCCACTCAGGTGAAGGCCGCGCCGCAGCTGGAGTGGCCAACCGAGCCGGACGCCCTCTACACTGTGCTGCTCACTGATCCGGATGCGCCCAGCCGCAAGGAGCCCAAGTTCCGCGAGTGGCATCACTGGCTAGTGGTCAATGTGCCCGGCAACCAGATCGACAAGGGCGAGGTGCTCAGCGCCTATGTGGGCTCGGGACCGCCGCAGGGCACGGGACTGCATCGCTATGTGTTCCTGGTGTTCAAGCAGCCGAAGAAGCTGTCCTGCAATGAGCCGCGCATTCCAAAGACCAGCGGCGATAAGCGTGGCAAATTCAATACGGCCAAGTTTGCGGCCAAATATCAGCTGGGCAATCCCATAGCCGGCAACTTCTACCAGGCACAGTGGGACGATTATGTGCCCAAGCTGTACAAACAGCTGTCGGGCAAGTGATAGGAGTTATTATTATAAGCAAATACTGTATGGGTTTCTCTTTTCTTTCATAAATTGGCAAGTACACACGATTATGGCCAATGACCGATTGGCGTGCATTGTTGAAAAAGAAATAAATAAAAGGTGTTATTAAACACATTTCCACGAATGTTCGCTCAATCACAGCTGCCGTCAGCAATGGCTGCTGCGTTTTATAAGCCCAGCCGCCAGACGAACTGGTTTCAGTTGAGGACAGAGCTAGCTAGCGAGCGGTTCACGTTTACAAACCACGCCCATAAACAGTCGGAGTAAATTTCAGTTCAACCTTGCGTAATTCATTCGACGCATCAATTAAAATGTTACTGCTGTCTGTGGCAATGGTCTGCGTTCTCGCTGCTGTGCAGTGCAACCCAGAGACGGACGCCTTCAAGTGGCAGGGCGTCGTGCCTGATGTACTGTCCCAGCCGCCCAATCAGATGCTAAAGGTGTGGCGCAACGCAGAAAAAGAAAGTTTTCTAAGCACCTCGAATATAATTTGCATTTTTTTTTCTTCTGCTCGAAGGTCGTCTACGACGATCGGATGATGATTATGAACGGCGCCATTGTGACGCCCACACAGGTGAAGAACACTCCAACTGTGGAGTGGCCGGCCGAACCAGACAGCTTTTACACGCTTGCGATGGTCGATCCGGATGCGCCGAGCCGTGCGAATCCCAAGCTGCGTGAATTCAAGCACTGGCTGGTGGTCAATATCCCTGGCAACAATGTGGCCAAGGGTGACACGCTGGCTGAATATGTGGGCGCTGGACCGCCAAAGGATACGGGTCTGCATCGTTACGTCTTTCTAGTATATGCCCAACCGAAGAAACTGACGTTCTCTGGATCACGAGTTAACAACAAAAGTCGCCGCTCCAGGACCAAGTTTCATATCAGACAATTCGCAGAGCATCATCGCCTGGGTCAGCCCATAGCTGGCGCCTTCTTCATGGCGGAATACGACGAGTACGTGCCCATACTGAGCAAGCAGCTATCCGGTCGTTGAGCGACTTTGATGAGCATCATTTAGTTTTAAGACACAATTGGAATTAACATCGTTCTTCATTATAGAAAATTGCAATTTAGTTTTATTGATTGTTGTTGAATTAATTAATGAGGCTTCTTTTGTTTTACGTGATATCTCCTATTTGCCCGCTGCCGTTGCCAATGGATTGCGTAGCACTAAAATTACAGAATCGCCGCGCAGAAACATTTTCGATATGAAGCGGTCTTTGTTGACGGGTTTCACCTTCTTTTTGCCCTTGCCGGTGCGCGGCAACTCCGTCCACATCTCCTTTACGTTCTCCAGAACCATGTTGCAATGGCGATCGAACGCTTTGACGCGGCCGAGTAGCTTTTTGTTGTTGCGGCAATTGATGAGTACCTGTGTGTTGTTCTTCACCGATTGGGTGAGCACCGACAGCGGGCCAGTGTTGAACTCCTCCTCTTCTTGGCGAGCCAGCTCCTCGGGGGTGAGCTCTGATTTGGGTTTAACGAGAGCCCTGCAAAAATGTTTTTTGTTAAGTTTGTTTGGTACAACATCGAGCATGCCGGCTGTATGCTAAGCAGTCTTATACAGGCGGATTCAGCAATTTTACTTACATGTCAATGTGCTAATGGAACCTGATTGCTATAGCGGTTAACGTCTCAGAATAATTTAAAGAGCAAGTAAAATTATTTACCAAAACGTTTGGTCCTCGCGGCTTTATTCCGTGTCTAACAAATGCTATATAAGCTATCGATATTTTATATGGAACTATCGATGTTAACTCCAAAGCGTTGCCACCTAAAGCGACACGCAAATCATTTAAATATTGCTGTTGAATCAATTGGATAAATAGTATAGTAAATAGTATAGTATTTATCCTACAAATATTGTATTGCAGTATTGCTCAACAAACAAAGTTGGGCTTGTAATCTTTTTGTTAAATGCACAATTATGTTCTCATTGGATATGTGGAATGATATGATTTATCACATACGGTCACACTTTACCCACCACCATTTATTATTGTAAACAAAGGCACGTGCTGAATTTAATTTTCGCAATTATTTGTACAGATGGCATGGCCGAAGCAATCCCCGCTAAGAAACCCAAGATGAGTCCAGATGAGAAGCCGGCTCAGCCGGTAGCTGCCACCTGTGCGCACTGGGTACAGCGCAAGAAGCGCTACTGCAAAATGGAACCGAACAAGGGCAGTTTGTTTTGCGGAGCACACGAGCCACCGAGTGAGGCGACTGCAGACAATGCCGAAGCAGGGCGCATACCCTGCCCACTAGATCCCAAGCACACAGTGTTCAAGCGGAAGCTGGCGAAACACCTGACCATTTGCAATGCTAGAGATCAGAACAGTAACCTGCCCTACATACACAAAAATATAAATGCTGGCGAAGAACTAGAGTCGGACAACCTGCAAGAAATCTGTGAATATGAGAAGCTAAAGCTGCACGAACTTGAGGATGAAGAGTTCTATAGGGTCATCGACAAAGTAAAGCAGCTGTATGACACTCACATAGACGGCAACATTGAGCAGCTGCAGCGGCAACACTCATCGCTGGAAGAGCCCCTGAGCCACAGCGAATATGGACCGGAGACCCGCAAGCATCTGGTGCAGACATCCGCTTTACTGGGCATACTCGAGCAGGATCAACAGTTGGCTGACAACACTAGCTTCATTGAATTCGGAGCTGGCAAGGGCCAACTGGCATTTTACTTAGCCACAGCACTTGATACGAAGCAGTTGGCCAACTCGCAGGTGGTGCTGGTGGATCGTCTCTCGCTGCGCCACAAGAAGGACAATAAGCTGACCAATAAGCAACTGGTGCAGCGAATACGCGCGGATATTGCGGACCTGAGGATGTGCCAACTGCCAGAGCTTCAGCGTACCCAGCGCAATGTGGCGCTATCGAAACATCTGTGTGGCGCCGCCACAGATCTGACGCTGCGCTGTGTGTTAGCCGACAAAGAGAAATGTCATACAGACTACATTTTGATTGCTCTCTGCTGCCATCATCGCTGCTCCTGGCAGTCCTACGTGGGCAAGAAGTGGCTCCAAACCGCTGGCATCACGCCACGAGACTTTGTCATCATCACCAAGATGGTGAGCTGGGCTGTGTGTGGCACTGGGATAAGTCGCGAGCGGCGCAAGGCCATGGCGGAGGCAGCCACTCAGGAGGAGCCGCCCCAACAGGAGCCCACGCAGAGATTAAGCCGCGAGCAGCGCGAACTTATCGGTTATAAATGCAAACGTGTCCTGGACTACGGCCGTCTAGAGTATTTACGAGCAAATGGCTACCAGGCGTCCCTCAAGTTCTACGTGTCGCGCGACGTGACTCTGGAGAATGTAATTCTATTGGCTAAGCGCGACAGCCCAAGAGTGCAATAGTTCTAAATGCGTATCTGTTATACAATAGCATTTACTTATGCTAAGTGAATGAAAAATATATTCGACACCTATTTTATACAGCTATGACGATAAAAATGACTATATTCCAAGTAAAATCCAATGACGGTTTATTCTGGCAAATTAAGATACAAACAACTATTTGTTTTTGTTTTTGTTTTTCACTTTCTGCTGATCAGCTGTTTTCGCTTCCAGTGCAGCAGCGTTTCCAGTGTGTACACTGAATATGCGCTGGTTTTTCTTTTTTGCAACCAGGGCTGCACAGCAGCGTGAACAGCTGTTGGTGAGTCAGTATTTGGAAACACTTTCGCATCGTAAATATTAAATTGAACGAGAAAACTAATTATAATAGAATTGTGCTACAATAATGGCTAATGAAATGGCGTACAAAATGAAGGCCATCAAATGCCCCACAGACGAACTGTCTCTGACGAACAAGGCTATCGTCAATATTGCCGATTTCACCGAGGAAGTAAAGTCAGTTTGAGCTTCGATTTTTGTTTGACTTTTGAATGATTTCATAAAATGACGCCAGCTCAGTGGGGGCGTCTCTATTAAAGCTTATTTAATCACTGTTGTGTGTTTCATTTTCTGCATAACAGATATGTTGACATCTCGCCGGGACCTGGACAGCATTATATATTTGCGCTGGAGAAGATCGCCGATCTGCCACGTGGACATGTTGGCTTCTCTCTGGTGCAGCGCAAATGGGCATCCCTCTCCATCAATCAGGAGATTGATGTGCGCCCCTACCGATTCGATGCCAGCTCTGACATCGTTGTATCGGTCTCCTTCGAAACGGACTTTCTGCAAAAGAAGACCATCACCCAGGAGCCCTACGACTCGGATGAAATGGCCAAGGAATTCATTATGCAGTTTGCGGGCATGGCACTGACGGTGGGTCAAACACTGGTCTTTCACTTCAAAGACAAGAAATTACTCGGTCTAGCAGTCAAGACGCTGGAGGCTGTAGATCCCAGAACCATAGGCGATGGCAAGGAGGCGAAAACGCGGAACGTAAGATTTGGCCGGGTGCTAGGCAACACGGTGGTGCAATTCGAGAAGGCCGAGAATTCGGTGCTAAATCTGCAGGGCAGGTCGAAGGGAAAAATTACACGGAGCCCCATCATAAATCCCGACTGGGACTTTGGCAAAATGGGAATTGGTGGCCTGGACAAGGAGTTCAATGCCATCTTCCGACGTGCTTTTGCCTCGCGAGTCTTCCCACCCGAGCTGGTTGAACAGTTGGGCATTAAGCATGTGAAAGGCATATTGCTCTATGGACCGCCAGGAACGGGCAAAACTTTGATGGCTCGACAGATTGGCACCATGTTAAATGCACGTGAGCCCAAGATTGTGAATGGGCCACAGATTCTGGACAAATATGTGGGTGAGTCGGAAGCCAACATTCGACGCCTGTTTGCCGACGCCGAGGAGGAGGAGAAGCGCCTAGGACCGAACAGTGGGCTACACATAATCATCTTCGATGAAATCGATGCCATCTGCAAGGCACGTGGCTCGGTGGCCGGTAACAGTGGCGTACATGATACCGTGGTCAATCAGCTGCTGGCTAAGATTGACGGCGTGGAGCAGCTGAACAATATATTGGTCATTGGCATGACCAATCGCCGGGATATGATTGATGAGGCGCTACTTCGACCCGGCCGCCTGGAGGTGCAAATGGAAATCAGCCTGCCCAACGAAGAGGGACGCGTTCAGATCCTCAACATACACACGAAGCGAATGCGTGAGTTCAATAAGATTGCCAGCGATGTGGATAATAAGGAGATTGCCGCATGCACAAAGAACTTCAGCGGCGCTGAGCTCGAGGGTCTGGTGCGTGCTGCCCAGTCCACGGCCATGAATCGCCTGATCAAAGCCGACGCCAAGGTGCACGTAGACCCCGAGGCCATGGAGAAGCTAAAAGTAACGCGCTCCGACTTTATGCACGCCTTGGAGAATGACATCAAGCCCGCATTCGGTGCAGCTCAGGAGATGATTGAGAACATGCTCGCCCGCGGCGTCATCAACTGGGGCCCGCCGGTGACCAGTGTGCTGGAGGATGGCATGCTGTATGTGCAGCAGGCGAAGGCAACGGAAAGCTCCGGTTTGGTATCCGTGCTCATCGAGGGCGCGCCCAACTCGGGCAAATCGGCGCTGGCCGCCAAACTGGCAAAGATGAGCGACTTTCCATTTGTCAAGGTGTGCTCGCCTGAGGATATGGTGGGCTTCACCGAGTCCGCCAAGTGCTTGCACATACGCAAGATATTCGATGATGCCTACCGCTCCACGCTCAGCTGCATTGTGGTGGACAATGTGGAACGCTTGCTCGACTACGGACCCATCGGGCCGCGCTACTCCAACCTAACACTGCAGGCCTTGCTGGTGCTGCTCAAGAAACAGCCGCCAAAGGGTCGCAAGCTGCTCATCTTGTGCACCTCGAGCAGGCGTCAGGTGCTTGAGGAGATGGAAATGCTATCCGCATTCACCTCAGTTCTGCACGTCCCCAATATATCCAATCCCGACCATGTGCTAACAGTGCTGGAGGACTCCGATCTATTCAGTGCCGAGGAGCTGCAAGTGATTGCCCGCAAATTAAACGGTGCACGCGTATGGATTGGCATTAAGAAGCTATTGGCACTAATCGATATGGTGCGGCAATCGGAGCCGCAGTACCGAGTAACGAAGTTCCTTACCAAAATGGAGGAGGAGGGCGGATTGGAGATGCTGGCCAGGCCGCAGTAGCTACCGCCCTTGGGGGAACTGAGAATGTCAGTTGTGGAGCTCAACGATGCTTTCTGAAGCGTGTCCAAGAATAAACTGCACCAACGAATTAGCTCGAATAGAGATTTGTAATACATTTTATAAACACGAAAGACCACTTATCAAAGAGCTAGAACAAGTACAGAAACCCGACCAATAACAACACAACAATACAACAGTAAATAAGACAAAAGAAAGTTTATAAACATTCCGCACAAATCCCAACGACTAGTCCACTTGAGCCTTGTCGCATCCTTGTCAAACCCTTGGCATAGTCGTGACTATTAGATAGTTGAATAGGAGCTACGTATACCCTTGTAGTTGTATCTTTATGTAGACGACGTATCTATTGGAAGCCCATTTCGATGTGAATTTCTGTTTGTTAGAATTGTACAATTTTTTTGTTTTATAAGTAAAATAGATGATATCTGCGCATATGCCAGAAGCGCTCAGCTATAGTAGATAAATAAAATATAATTAGAATGGAAAAACCTCTAATCAAACTCTGTTAACTCCCAATTATGTAATTGTAATTGTACTTATTGAGTATGTGGCATTTGCCTATAGCTTCGGTTCTTGCATAGAAATGCTTGCCCTCCTTAGGACTGTTAGATACTCGAGCACATCCTACTTTGCCTCGCTGTTAAGTTCAAAGAAGTTAAATATTAATATATATGCAAAACATTTGGTAGAAGGAACAATCCATACTATAATCAATTTATATAAGTGTTTTTAATTGTCTATCTATTGATATATACATACATATATATATATATGTACTTTATATGAAGAATGTATTTTGACTTGCAATTTTTTGAAGATTATTTGTCAACTTTGATATGCGAGTTTCGATCGCTTTGATCGTCTTGATACACTAGCGCCGCCATTCACAGAGCGGCCAATTTTGTAACTAACTCGAGTCGCACCGCACAAAAGTAGACTATAAGAATATGAAAAATGATGTCAATGTCATGGAAGTTACTAAATAGGCCAATTGTAATATGCATATAAAACATGTGTTTCTATGCAGTTTAAAAAGAAAATGAAAGAAAAGGAAAATTTATTAAAAATGAAACTAAATTCATATGAGGAAATGTAGTCAAAGTGAGAATTGCATTTAAATATAATATATATAAAATATATTTCGCACAAAGTTGAAAAGGAAATCGCATTTGAACAATTTTTAAAAAAGGAACAACAAAGATAACATCCAATAAATGTTACCAAGTATGTTTCACAATTGCATTTACCTAGTTATAAGCCGCATGTATTCCAACGTGTGTGTGTGTGTGTGTGTAATAAATGCATTAAAGAACGTCTTGACATTCTTGAACTTGACTCGGGCGCCACACAAGCATGTGGAGCAACAAATCAGAGCCCAATTGCTCAGACGTCGATCAGCTGTTGGGTGGACGCCGAAGTGGTGCGACAAGCTGACCCGCCACACTGGCCAGCCACTGAACCGCTGTATAACTGACCAAGACACGCCGGGTCGACGGCGAATGGAGGCAGCCTTAATGTGTAATTTGAATAAATGATTTATAATGTAAACATTTTAACGGGCCAGCGAGTCGTATACGTAATAAGTGTAGATTTCTTATTTCAGTATTGTAATTGATATATGTCGCTAATTGCGCGCGACGCCCATTTGACGCGCAGCGTTTCACATTGGCCGAGCGCCACGTTGGCCACGTTATCTAAGGAATCCTGGCCAGCTGCAAGCCAACGGTGCTTATTAACTAATTAAATCTGCATATTTTGCCAAGATGCAAAATTAATTCCTATAGAATGGTACAATTAGGCGCGAGAGACCAACCAGTTGCAGCATAACTAATTGCTGACCGTTGCTCAACCCCCTCCCCCCCCTCCCCCTCTCACTAAGTGTACGTATGACGGGGCTTGCCCTAATGACGCCTGTTCAATTCACTTTTGACGCGTCATTCCCGGGCCAAGCACCCAAAAATATCCAATTTCAGTGCGCCCAACAAGTGGGGGTCGCGTCATCTGGCGAACGTACGAGCGTACGTATGCAAATTTTCATGACGAAAGTCCAGTCGGACAAAGTTCAGTGACCGGAATCGGAGAGAGAGCGAGAGAGAGAGAGAGAGAGAGAGAGCGAGGGAGTGCAAGAGATCCCCACCCACTCACTCTTTCCATCTCTTCAAGCAATAACGAAATGAAATTTTCATTCAACCTCTGCGTCGCCTCTTTAAAAATAAAATGCGCAACTTTTACAGAAAGCGTCGACTGTGTGCGTGTGTGTGTGTGAGTGAGTGAGTGTATTTTTGTTACTAATTGAAGGCGAGGGGGTGGTGCTCGCACTTGTCAGCCAAAGCTGCAGCTAAAGCCACCTAAGCCTTTCCTTACCCCCCCAACCCCGACCAGCCGCACAGTCGTGCCCCTCAAAGCACTCTAAAAACCGGCTGTGCTTGCTGTTGTTGTTGTAGCTGCTGCTGCTGTTGTTGTAGTTGTTGCTGTGGTTGTTGCTGTGGTTGTTGTTAAAAGCACAAATGCCGGCAGCAAAGGTTCGATTTCACTTTCGCACGCTGTCTCTGACGTCGCTAGCTGCTGGCGCTTCCAGCGCTTGTTGATTGTGGGGATTTAGCGGGCATTTGCCAATGGGCGAGGGGGTGAGGCGGAGCACCAGGCATTGGTTAGCTGACAGTAGGTGCCATCCGAGTGTAACAGGGGCAACGGCGCTGGGGTCTGGGTCTGTCGTGGGTTCAGGTTGGCAATGCGACGCCCGCTTCAGCTGCTCTCACTGCTTTCATTCAAATGCCAGCCTATTCTGGCTCAAACTCTCACCAGACTTGCGGCGCTCAGTTGGCCACATCTCTCCAGGATGCAGACTGATATAGTCTCCACAAGGCGGCTCAATAAACAATTTAAAAATAATTGCAAAATAAGTTGAAGTTCAAGCGGATTGAAGGTTGAATTTTAGCTCGAGCTAAAAATATTAAATAATTATTTTTTAATTTATATTCTAAATGCCAATGGAAAATTTTAAGAGTATTATTATATGATGGGCAGTCAATAGTCAATCATTATATATGTAATTCTTTAAGAACCTTGCCAAGAATATTTTCTCTGATTAATCCTAAGGTTTTAATAAGAGCTGCAATAGATGACAAACTTATGCAGCTTTACTCAAGACAGGCACATAATACCTAATGATTTCATGCACAAATTACAGCTTTATGGCAAATACATAGATATACCATATATATATTTAGACTTATATATAATGTTCAAATACAAGCAAAAAATCATGCAAAATCTTCCTGCATTACACAAACGCGGAAGATTTGCTTGCTTTAATACTTGTACTCGCACATTTCATGGATTTCCCAAAGTTGACTGCATTTTCATGGCATTTTCATTGGACTTCGCATATGTATGTGAGTGTGTGTATGTGTGTGAGTGTGTGCATGTGAAACTAACAGTTAAATTAGCAGTTTTTTTTCCTTCAGTTTTGTTTTGTTTTGTGTGGCGCTTCATGGCTCTCTGACGCTACAATTTTACAGTGCAGCCCGAAACTTTGGTCTGTCCGTGTTTCATTTCAGTCGTTTTTCCTCTTTTTCTCCATTTGGTGGTTGTTGTTGTTGCAATTTATAATTAAGTTGCAATTTGGCATGCGAGCCAAGAAGTTGACGGCGCTGCCTGGTCCCAAAACTATTCGTGGTATGTCGACAATTTTCTTGGAACTTGCATGCGTATTAGTCATCAGAATTGATACGGCAAAAATATTCAAAAATTATTGCATTATATTATTTTGTTTGATATGAACAGAAAAAACCATATCGATTAACCCTTCACGGTGAATGGCTCTAAAATATTTGAAGAAAATGCAATAGGACATGAATTGCTTTATATGAATTTTGTTACAAATTATTGTGTATAAAATAAATAAATTAAATAAGCTTAAATTTAGAATTTTTACTGTTTATTGCGTTTATTAGAAACTGCTGTGGTATTTTTGACCCATGCGACGCCATGGGTTAAACCTATTTTATATGCATTTGCAGCCTAAATACAAGGCACAACCCACCAGATTACAAAAAAATAAATAATAATCAGCCAATCGTTTCAGCATCAGGCAAGACAAATCAAAGCTCTGGAACTCTGCGCCACCAAAGGAATAAAGAGCAAGCCGAAACTTGAATACACTACTTGATCAAGTTATTTAAGCACTTATACAGAAGCAAATATATATGTACATATATAGGATATATCTGGCATGTTCAGCAGCTAAACAAATAAGTTATCAAATTATTACAAATATTGCGAAATAAAAAATATGTAAATATTTTAGTTGACTAAGTCTAATTGATTTTGGATCACAAAGTTGTTAACAATATATTTGTTTGCACTGTCAAGTATTATTATTATTATTATTGATCTATATACAACATTTGTTATGTCTATCATACATGAATACAATATATATACACTGTAATCAGATCAATGTAGACATATAAACATATACACAAGTATGTATTTTGATACCCCTGTAGACATGAATTTATTGTAGTTTTCCAAACGAGAAATAAACACAATCAAGAACCTAGACATAAACAAATATTACAAATATTATATACACTCGCTAGCTATGCGTCGCCTAGCTCTCAAGAGACTCATAATACCCAGCGCTAGAGCAGCAATAAAACTCGAATGCGGGATCTGCGAAGCAATCCGTGGAAATGTTTGCCGCACGCGATCGAGGCATTCGCATTTCATTTCGATTCATTGATACACTCGGCGGCAAAAAACTCTCAGTGCCAAATTAAATAATACGAGCTGCCCTGCTCCTTGTTATTATTATATTGTATTCCACCCTTTCAGTTTTTTGCGTGTTTAGTTTTGCTGTGTGTGTGTGTGTGCGAGTGTGTGTGTGCCATATTCTTAGGAATTCCTTGGCACAATCCAAACCAGTCGCAAGATCAATCAGTGTGCCATCAGCATTTGTGATCTTGATCTGCGACTGCGTCACTCGCTCACTCTCACTCTCCCTCTCCCTCTCACACTCTCTCTATCTCGCTCGCTCGCTCGCTCGTGGCAACTTGACTTATGGCAGCGCGTCGTAGTTCGCTTTCGTTTGTATCCTCGACAGCTGTGGGCTGGCCTGGCACGTGCCTAGTTTCAACTTTCTTCACTTTTCTGGGGACAGCTCGTATTACGCAGCTCGCGCAACCCTTTGTGCACACCTTCTTCAGCTGGCCACGCCCCCAAGTCATTAGGGCGCACACTTACAGCAGGCGGATATTGAATTGGATGTCTTTAACTTCCTCTGGCGC